GGTAGCTACAATTCTGTTCCCAGGTATCGCGCGCATGAGGCTTCAAAGCTGTGGATTGCTGTGCATGTGTAGAGGTTATCGAGCGGTTGACGGAAAGGGAACTTGAAGTACTATACCTGGTAGCTGCACTATAGCTACCTTGGGTCTCTATACCTGGCAAGGTGCCAACTACACCTTTCCATTCAGATGATGCAAGTGAAGCAAATTGCATTTCTTGCATCACCGCCCCTCAAAAATCACCTCCAACACAACCTCAACAAACCTTCCCTCGACGCACCCTCCTCCCCCAGCATGTGCCGAGTTTACGTGTACCTTTTGCCGGCCCCCCCCCCCAGACCCCCACACTTCGTTCGCCAAACACAACTCCGCTGGCGCCTACTACGAAGGCTGGCTTTCGTAACATCCACAGGAACTTCCAATCCTTTTACCGTGAGGTGGTCTTTAAATAACGCATGACTATATACAGAGGTCAAATCGATCTGGAATGGACTCCCAGGCTTAGTGAGAAAATGGTTTTCTCCTGATCAGCTTGCGTCGTCGAACGACCCGTGACAGCGGTTCCAGTCCTGCCGCTGGAAGCAACAAGCATACAGTCTGCATGATAGCCCATATAGCATGCAAAATCATGCAAACAGACTATCTCACAATGTCCAATCAATCCTTGTTTGGATTTCGGACGTGGGACGTGTGTTCACCGCGGGCCATGGCCGTCTCCTCTGGGCGCAGCGCCCGCTGCGCGGCTCGGCGCCGTGCTCCGCGAAGCCCTTCAGGGCCGAGAGGCCGGAGGCGCCGCCCAGGTGGAAGCGATCCTGGCGGGGCTTGGCGGAAGATTGAGAGTTGACCTCCTGGAGGTTCAGTTGACCGAAGCTGAAAGTTTTCCAAGGACGGCGCCCTCCAGTCAAACTAACCGGAGAGTTGACATGGCTTCGACGATTTTCCGAAGACCAACCCATAGTAGTTTGGGGGTTCCATGTTCACTTGAGCGGGGAAACACGAAAGGTAGAGACGGACCGGGTAGCTGTCGCAAAGGCCGTTACGGAACGGTGAGGAAGGACTGATGCTTGTCAAAACAAAATATGGGCACTAGAACACTTTTTTGCTCTTTTTCCTAAACCATCACTTTGCATGTCATGAGGCTACCAGGAATGTTCCTAGGATGGAAGCATCGATCATTGGTTTCCAACATCATCTACATGCATACTTCGGAGGCCGGTGGGGTGGTGAGCGGCGATGCGGTCAGATTGCGCCACAAGGCTCTGCAGAGAGGCTGCGTTGCGTCGACGCTGTTTTGTGTAAAGGAAAGCGGTGTGTGAAAACAGGCGTGCGTAAAAGTCGCAATACGTAAATGCTCGCATGTGCAGCAGCTATATGATCCCACAGCTGCACGCAGTGTGTCAGGGTTACAGGCCTGCACGCGTTGCGTCGAAGCCGCAGTGACCAATCCCCTTCCTGGGGGGCCATTTGATCACCAAAAACAAGATCGAAGGTCAAAAGGCCATTTGGACACGAAAAACGGTATGGCCGTGAAAAATTATTTGGCCGTGAAAAAGCCGGTAAGGCCGTGAAAAAGTGTGCATTTGGAGGTGAAAAATGGCTCTTGGCCACGAAAAGGCATGAAAAACGTGAACAAGGAGTTGAGACCGTGAAAAAACCAAATGGCCGTGAAAACGGGCAATGGCATCAAAGCTTTACAAAATAGGGTCGAGAGCTGTTTGATCGCACTTTTAGTGATCGAATGGCTCCCCAGGTGGGGGGCGCCGCTGGTATTGCCAGGGATGGGCGTCACGCTATGCTGGGTGGCTGATGGGAAGGGCGCGTAAATAGCTGTGTAGTGGCGCTCTACGATGCGGTACGATGTGGCCATGATAGGGCAAAAGGCTGAAGCGAATGGTGCTCCACGATGCGAGAGGTTTCTCCACGGCTTTGCATCGATGCTCGTATGGTCTATGAACGCAGCACGCGCTGTGTCAGGCTGCCGGGCGCGCACGCGCGGCATCGAAGCCGCATTGCCCAAGCTCATTGCAGGGGTCGTGCTGCATTGCGCAACCTCATGGCCAGGGTCGTACGGCTGTGATTGCTAGCGCATGGTTTCAACTTATGGTGTGATGGTGCATCGAGAATGCTGCCGAGGGGGGGTGAGGGGTATGTTCCTCAAAGTGGCAGTGAAGTACACTGGACCTGATCGATAACACCAAGTAAGACCCAATAGACTCGATAGCGGAGTGTCGAAGTGTGCGAACGGCAGAGAGCATACTTTTCTATGGCGAGCGGTGCAAGTGCAGGCTCTACTTAGGGGGCCGCCCACTTATAAGTCCAGTTACAAGTATGGCAAGTGAGGTTATAACGTCTCTAAGTCAGGCCCTAACGTATGTAAGTTCATGGCAGGTTAGTGGACTTAGGTCCGGACTTAGGTAGAGTTATTAAGTTATGTATAAGTTATGTTAAGTGCAATGAGCGAATCTATAGTTCGGACTTAGCGGATCGAGTTAGCCAGACTTAGCGAACCCATAGAGTTTGAAACCGTTTTGCTGGAAGTGCGCGCGAAACACATGGAAAAATTAAAGAATACAGGAAGCATGACGCTTGCGTTGGATGCTTGCGGTCTACTGCTGGCTCCTGCGTACCGCGTGGAGAGCGCGCTTGGCCTACTGGGGCCTCTGTAGGACAGCCTATAGAGAAGAGCAGCGGAGTCAAGTACAGCCCGCGAGGAGAGAAAAGTAATGAACAATGAGTGTCTCGTAAATGTCTCGTGGGTCGGACAGCGGTATAGTCTCCGCGATGTCTCGTGGTGTCTCGCAATATAGCAGTAAAGGTGGGACGTCCCTAAACATAGCACGGTGAGATGTCTCGTGATGTCTCGTAAGTGTCTCGTGGACTCACGCGCAACGTCGAGATTCGGTGGTATTCATTTGAGGGCATGACTCGCAAGCACCGCAGCGGCGCGGAATCCTTCGACTGCATCCACTGAGTGAAAAAGCGTGGCGAAAGAGCGTGAGGGATACGTATATATACATTGCGTATTTGATGGTGCGTTGACCGCTCCGATACACTTTGCAACATCGAAAACAAGAAAAAACATACGTGACAAGTTTTTTTAAAGAAACAAGGCTGTTGAACTTATGATCGATTACACGGACTTAATGACCTTACATGACTTAGGCCTAAGTGGACTTACATGGGCTTATAGATAAGTTGTTATAAGTCAAGTTATAAGTAGGCGGCCCCCTAAGTAGTGGTCTTGAGCCAAAAGCAACGTGAATTAAGCTACTAAGCTGACTGAAGAGTATCTACAAAATATCTACGAACAACAGGTGCTACACACGTATAGCGTAGGCACGTCTAGGGGGACCCTAGAACACTACAAAATACAAACAAACAGACGTTTTCTTCGCGTCGGAGCTTACGGCTGCAACAGTACAAAAGAGTGCATATGAATTACAAAAGTTCTGGCGTCGCAGAACTAGAGGGAATCACGAGCTTAGGGTGGAAAAGACTTCGTGCCAGGATTTGCCATTGTGGTAACCATTTGACCAAGGTCCACGAGGACTTGAATCCCGAGTGTGAAGGACAAGGAGCAGACCTTGTTCGCGCTCGATGGCCCTTTTGCGCAACATCCAGATGAGCAAACACGTCTTTTGGTCGCCCATCCACCTCTGCCCGCCGATGCCAAGCTCGGAAGATGAGCCTTGAAAGATCTCGGCAGTCTATGGCCTCAATGCTTCAGCCAACTCGGCTTCCTACAGGAACTCAGAACATGGACCTATGAGAGGGAGGAATGTATGGTGCTCAGAATCACGGAGGATTCAGCCAGAGCTCCAGCGCAGGACATATCTTGAGGTTTCCTCGTGGTCTACGCCAGCGACCTGTTGATTGCAGCCCCAGATGGACTGGCCAGTCAGCTGATAAATGGGATTCGTGATCGACTTGCTCAGCCCCAGAGTGGCCGCTGTCGTTGTCTTTGGACGAAGATCCTAAACCAGATGGTGAGCATCGACGAGAACAAGAATCGATCTGGAATCTCCTGTGGCGCTCATGGGAAGGCTAGCGACCAAAGGTCCAAAGAAGGTGTTGAAGTGGGGTGGCCGTCTGACCACGTCTTGGCCTACGTTTGCCGGCACGGTGACCTTCAAGCTCCGAGCATGAAGGATGGTGCTTGCAACTCTCCGGATCCTCTCAGATGCCTTGTTTGGCCCATGGGTCTGGAAAGGGACAACAGGACTTGGTAGAACCGAGACCAAGCCGGTGGTGAAGATATCGCCTTGGTCAACAAATCTGCCGCCCGCTCTTGCGGCCTGGTGCATGCCGAAGTCGCCAGCACTTCAGGGCTACCCTCTCCTTTACTGCAAAGCAGCGCAAGTGCAGTGGCGAGTGCGCCACGGCCCTTCTGGAGCCTCAAGACGCAGGCCTGAATCCCCAAGAACCACTGCATCGCAGCGATCCTGCCACCTCTGCCTCCGCGGAGAGAGTGATGAAAGGCTGCTGACGGCTATCCTATCAACTCAAAGGAGGTTGGAGGACTGGTGGGATTGGCATTGTGGTCGGCCTCATCACCTATGCAGCAAAACTGGTGAGGTCTGTGGGATTGTGTGCGCTGACGGCGGGAGTGGCCATGCTTTGTCGAAAAGGAGCTGCAGAAGACCCCCCGGCATCACTCATGGCCGCATCATCACCTTCAGGTGTTCGCGTTCCGACATGAGCCACTTCAAGAGCCATGGTACAATCCTCAGTTTATGGAGGCTCCACGAGGTCAAGATTGATGGACGCAACCTGGCCAGGGGTGGCTCGTCCGGGTTCATGCCAGAGTGGCTTTTCATCCCGTTCATCGAGGAACTCCCACCGATGTTCGTCAGCTCAGCGCTTCAAGATGGTCCGTGTTCTGGCACGAGAATGACGGCCGACGTGTCTCTCAAGACCAGTGGACGCTGGGTGGACGGTCACTCATGAGTGCAACCGGACGTTGGAGAGGCTACACCTTTTTCCGTGTTGCTCAACCTGGTGAGGATCCGTTTCGGGCTATGGGGGAGGTGCGGAACCTGGACAGGCCAGCGGCGTGGGAGGTGCAGAATCTACCTGGCAAAATTATAGTATACACCAGCATTTAAATGCTTCAGAAGGCAAAAATCCCCATGATTCATGCGTGCCTTTCGATATGGTGACTTGAAGGGCAGTGATGCCGCACCATGAAAAAGTTGGGGCTGTTCGTGAGGGGCTTGCACTCAGGTAGGTAGGACGCCGGCGCATGGCCTAGGTTAGCAGTACCACCGGCAACTCTAAAAGGCCCCGTTGCAAAAAAGCGAGACACCTGGACTTCCGAATGCACTGAAACATGTATTCTCCCAACGAGCCGCGCAGTGACATCAATTTGAAGTGCCTTGCTTTGCGGACCGGCGTGTCATTGGGAGGGTCAAACCCACAGCCCCGGCTCAAAATGTCCACTGTTTTTATTTTTGATCTTGGAAGGGCCGCCCATTGACGCCTTTGTGGATCCTAGATGGTCCTTGAAGGTCCTGGTGTTGGGTGCCGCCTCTTTGCTTGGGATGATTCCGAAGTGATCCTTGCTGATCCAAAGCAGAACAGGTAACACCAAGGCATCAACAACCACGAGTCATGAAGTGTTGAAAACGACTCTCTCGGCCAAGCTTCAAGTTACCAAGAGAGGGTGGCCCCTTAAGATAGACTCTTCACCGCGGGCTTCCCGTGGTCCTTTTCGGCACAAATCACAGCAAAGTAAAAGGCCATCTGTCCATCGGTCCTTGTTTCACTTCGGTGGAAAACCATGGAACCCATCTTCTCTCTGTCAGTACTTATATATATATATTATATATATAAATATATGCCGACTATTATAACAACAACTCCAGCTAGCTGGCAATAGCTTTCGTGATAACTATCGGTAATGATCGAACCATGAATGGATTGATCAATCTGTTCAGCTGACCGAAGGAAAAAGGAGGGAATCCTCCGTCGCGCCATCGCGCGTTCCCTTGATACGGGTGGTAAAGCGTACAGCGCACTCCATGGAAGATTTCATCTGACGAGTGGAGTGATGATGAACGCCAAAGAATGAACTTGTGGTAGTGGCAAACAAAAAATGAAGCTCTGTCAAGAAAGATATCAACTGCATGCAAAAAAATAATTCAACTGTCTCACAAAGCTCTGTTCCATCTACACACTCGATCTGTATCAGTCTAATACCAGTTTTGCCACGTCTCTCCAACTCGCTCTCCGTGTTCGCCCATCACTCCTTGGACCTCTTCAGTCGCACATCACTGAGACACAGGGCCGTGGGCACGGCCGGATGAACCGGCCGAATTCACAAGAGAAAAGGATGCGACAGTGAACATCTTGGCCACTTTGGTCTTCCCAAAACATCAACCCCAGCCTTCCAAAGACCACTTTTGCAACCCTAGGCTTCCAAAGACAACTTCTGTCTTCCCAAAACATCACTAGTCTCTTGATCAATCAATGGGCCCAGACATGGATTGTAAAACCTATTCATGTGGGTGGTTTGATTGATTAAGAGTCTGCCCTAGTGGAGGAAAACATGGCTCCACTCGAAATGGTCAGCGACCCATGTCCCCCATGGTGATCACTGCGTGCCACAGCAAAAGGCCATGAGTCCATCGGTCGTTGTTTCACTTCGGA